GGTCTTCGGGTTGAAGTTTTTTTTTAATTTCTGTCCACATGTGCTTGCTTGCCAATTTCGCTTTATGTCGTGCTATCCTTTCCAAATCTGGAGCCTAGTCTATGCCCTGTGAATTGTTGTCGACTGCCATCATTGCGGAGTTCACCTTATTTGCTTAAATACTCAAATAACTCAAGGTTACTCAGTTTTATCGCAAAGGCTCGAGCTGCAAAGCAAGCTCACCCAATCTCAGACACGTGGGCCTGAGGCCTCTTGACCACACTCAACTCGGACACACGTTAGACCCGATAGTTGCAGACTTTCGTGCACCCCCTTAATACACCCACCTTGGGGTAAATACAACCCAGGCCACTATACACACCGTGGCTCAGGTACCGCGCCACAGATACCACGTGAACAAAGACGCTTCTCGAAATCCTATCAAGGCGGCCGACGCCAGAGTCTCCCTACCTCCTGTTCTCTCCCATTCCGACATGACTTAACATCGTCACCCCACGCCCTGCCCCTCCTCCCAGTGGCCACTGCCGCCGGGAACAGCACTGAAGATTCTGGGCATGGGTTGAGTATGCAAATTAACTGGGAAAATAGAACGCAAAGTGGCCCCTGCAAAAAAGGAAGGTAATAATACCTGAAATAAACGAACTCGCTGCCGTATGTGTAGTCAGAATAAGGCACAAACTATGGGGATGAGGCCAACCACTACACACTTGTCCAGGATGGCGTTAGTCTGGATTGTATGCCAAAGGGAAACGAACGCGCTTCACGAGGATCCTTCCTATGTGATGTTGAAGGGAACTAGCTATCCTCTAAAACGGGAAGTGTATTACTACTTATTTTGACAGTCGGGAAGATAAGCCGGGCAATTGATGGAGTCTTTGGGGGAGGGGGACGGGGGGCATTGTGAATACTCGCATTTCTAGCATAAGTTTGTTTTATTACTCTAATGAGGTGCTGGAACCGATGCGCAACACGGAATATGCAAACTAGAGGCGTGTAACTCGGCTGGAAACCCGGCTGTTGCAATCCGATCGCATATACCCGCCCCCTAAATGGGTCCTGAAACTTAAAGTACCCAGTGCCCGAAGCTTTGAAGAAGCTTAAGTGTAACATGAGTCAGTCTTGGAATGCGTCTGTCTTCTTTGCCACGATCTAAGATCTATCAATAGAGAGCTTCTGGCGAAAATAATTCCGCACTATATTTGGAGGCATAGTCTTTGTTCATCGCGTATTATAGTTCGATTTTTTTCACTAAAATGCACGAAGTATACTCAGATCCTCTGGGCATCCACTAATAAATTAATTAGACATGGTAGTAATCCGATAAATAGGGTGGACGTTCAGAAAGAGTAAATCTTTCAATGTTGCAAACATGCGCCCGCATATGTGTTGTCTGTTAAAGTGCAAATGACCTCCTAGCAAAATCTTTCCACCAATCAGAAAGTGACCAGGGCGATTTGCAGCTCTATTCGTCGCTCCTAGTTTTTCTGCACATTCCGGCAGTGCAGAGCCCAGGCCGGAATTTTAGAGATGAGTGGTTCGACTCTGTCGCATATTCAAAGTTATCTGCTTTTGCGGATTTACTGTGTATATCCCGTAGTCGGGGAAATAGGAAGCTCACTGCTGCTTATATTAGACCAAGGCTGGCTCTGAGTTAGCTTAGGCGTACCGTGGCACTGGACCTAATGGAGAGACTGCTAATATGCAGGTTATAAAGCCGGGCCTACACTTGTCTCCAAATTATGTTGCAGTGAGGCACACCACTGGCAA